ATATATATATATATATATATCTTTGCTGCAAATACAACAAACTTTTATGATGATTGTTTATCTTCTAATGGAAGTGAGATATTAATTTGACCAGAAAAAATTAAAATATTTTCTATTAAAAATATATTAATTTTACTTTTCTTTGTTTAAACTTTATTATTTTTTAACTTTTTTATTAACTCTTGTAAATTTAAATATTTGTTATGAATTTATGGACTCTTTATATTATAAATTCATTGTCTTTTTAAATCTTATATCATTACAATTTATATAACCATTTAAGATTCACCAGATTATATATATATATATATATATATAAAAGAATTTAGCACTGGAATTAACCAAGTGTGCCCCACATCCCAATGATTTTAGTTTTGGGCTGTTTGATTTGGTAAAAACCAATTTGTTATTTTTTTATTTTCATAATTTTTTGTCACTTTATTTTCAGTTTATTTATATATATAGAGAGAGAAAATAATAAACACAACACCTTATTGTTTTCATAATTTATTACGCAAATACTTGTAAATTAAAATAAAAGTAATATATATATAATAATTATTTATAAGAATAAAAATTAATCCATAAATTTCCAGACAACTCCCCTTTTCGTGTTGGGTGTAGAATATATAGTTGTTATACTAAAGTATAAGTGATGAAGATGATGCAATATTGACCCGCTGATCATGAACATGCTTGATCAGCTTAATTTAGCTAGATGATTAATTCCATCTATGATATTGCTTCTATTTTAAATTGCATGTTACACTCACTGGATCCTTAAATAAGTTATAAAGAATAAGCTATGAGAATGAGGAGGGAGAAACTATTATATGGTTTCAGACTACACTGATTTAACCTTTATATATATGCTGTCAAAAGAACAAAAAGCTTTATATATATGACACGTTAATAACTCTAAATTTTTTTAACAATGTATTGTTATGATATATAAAAAAAATGTAATGATATATTATGTGAAAATTAATTCGAGATCATATATAATCTCAAACTTAATAAAAATTTCTCGTGGAAGAGGGTTGGAAGTTGTAGCTAGAGTTCTGCACCACACAAAAAATGGTATATGCTTTCCCCACAAAAGAGCCTTTACGTACCTACATTGGATACCTATTTATCCTAATGGACTGGGGAAAAAATCTGGGCAGGGTATGGCCTTACTGATCCTCTGTAAGCGAAACAGTCCAAACATAGCTACCAAAAGCAAAACACTGAACACAGCTGCTTTAAACAAATAAATTAAAAACCTCTAATAAAAGAATTTTTTTAAGAGGACTAACTATTAAAATAATAGTATTACTTGTTTAGTTTTACTTTTTAAGAAAATATTCTTAAATAAAAATAAAATTTAACATGTTAATTTCATTCTAATAAACAGACAAAAGCAGATTGGGAAGTGGCACTTTAATACTGATAATTAGATTTATGAATAAAATATGCCTCAAGAAAACGAAAACGATACTGATTAGTTTTGTAATTAAAAGGAACCAGCAGATCTTCATATATATTATATGAGTGTGTTGAGTAAAATTAGTTTACAAAAGCTAGTTGAAGTTAGCTGAAAACTTGCAAACAATAATTTTAGAGTTGAAAAGTTAGAAGCTTAAACAAACTAATCGAATTGAAAGTACTAAAAAAAATAACTAATTGTATTGAAAGTGTTTAATGTTAAATTAGTTGATAAATGTAAGATAACATAAAATGATTTTTTTAATAAGAGTGAGAGAATGATAAGATAACTAAAATAATTTCTAAATTGAAAAGAGATTACAAAAAAATTCAAGTAAATCAAAGAAGATAAAAAGAAAGAAATAAAAAAAAAAGTTTAAAACTAAATTATAAATTATTTCAATTAACTTATAAAAATAAATTATAAAGTTCTAAAATAAACACATAAACATATGTGTTAATCAAATTTGTTTAGATCAAATTAACTTATCAAATAATTAACTTACTAAATACAATTATGTGAGTAAAGAAGTTTGTTTTAATAGGAAAGTACTATTTCTAGCACCCAAAGCATTATTCATGATAATTACAGATGCGGATCCCATCGAAAGATGATATTTTCTAACAAGCGACTGATTAACATGCAACAGCTGAAATACTACTTAAGGTCGGTTTTGTTCAACTGAAATAGTATTTTTCTTATGAAGAAACTATAAGGAGGGTTCAAACGACATCGGTGTAATTTTTACTAAGTGTTTACCGCTTAATAATTTTATATTAAATGTGAATTTTAAAAATTCAACCCGTTAGATTGAAAGTTCATATTTCTTAAATCATATATGTCAAATTTTGTATTAATTTAAGATGATTTGATACTTCATTCCCATAAAACAAAATTAACGTAATATATACATTTCAAAATATACTAAAATATGAACATTTTGATTACCTTAAGTTGTTATTCAATTTTAACAAAATTTGACATATATGATCTAAGAGATATGAACTTTCAATCTTACGGTTGAATTTTCAAAATTCACATTTAATATAAAGTTATTGAGCGGTATAACACTTAGTAAAAATTACACCGGTGTCGTTTGAACCCTCCTAAAAAATTATAGTATCTTTTTTTAATTCTTAATATAGTTAGCAAGATTTCAGATGGCAAATAGTATACTATAGCAGATCGAACAGCATGCGTTAAACTTGAGAACGAAGGGCGTAATCCTCAAATTTATCCATGAGAACATATCGGAAATTTTTAAATATACCATTGAAAAATAACTGTTTAAGTAATTATTGTGATTTCAAATTAAGAAAGAAAAAAAGAAGCTATACACATTCATGCATAACCCAATGGATATTCGTAGTTGATCATTACACTCTTAATATATATTTAAGTAAATTTGCAATAAATGAAAGAAGAAGAAGCAAAAAACTAAATTAGTTTATTTTTGACACATATTAAACACATAATTGTTGTTGACGGCATTACTCTACCCCTCTCTTTAATTCATATTAGGTTAGGAAGATAGATTTAGTAGTAATTAGGAGAGGAAGGAGGAGTGGGAAGAGAAGATGTTATTCTTTTTGTTTTAATAGTAGAAAAGGTGGAAACACAAAGAAGGAGGGGGACGAATTGGAAAACCCTAGGTACAATCTGTATCTGCACAACAATTAATAGATTGACAAAAGCAATGAACAATTAATTAGTATACAGGTGGAGAAGAAAGATCAGAAAAGGAAAGAGAGTTAAAGTTGAAGGTGCAAAGATTATGATAATAAAGATGTATGAGGGAGAGGGAGAAGAAAAATACTCGGTGCTGCTGTACTGAAAAAGCTTGCCGCGGCTGGAGAAGATGATTAGGGCGACTTCAGCATCGCAGAGCACCGATAGCTCGAAAGCTTTCTTCAGCAAACCATTTCTACGCTTTGAAAAGGTTACTTGGCGATTGATCTTGTTATGTATTCTCTCCAGTACAACCTTTCCTCTTCCCATGTTTCCTCTCGATCGCTACCTCTCTCTGCTTCCTTCTAGTTCTGATATCACTTCCCTAGCTATAGTCCCTTCTCTCTCTCGCTCTTTATATTCATATATAAGCCACGTTCAAATAAATGCTCTCTCTATCTTCACATTAATTCACTAATCGCCACCATTTTAGTCTTGTTATGAATTATGAATCTATATAAAATTAAGTGTATTTCTTTTAACATAAGTTATTAGGATTTAAAATCTATAATATTCTTTATTTTAGTCTTTATTTTTTAATCTTTATAATATACAGAATTAAATAGTGGTAGTAATCGATTTAAAATATAATAAAAAATTTAAAGGTAAAAATGTTTAAAAGAAAAACAGAGACAAAAGAAAGTCATTAAAATATATATTCTCTTAGTTTTATAATTATTGTGATGTTAGTTTTAAAATTATTATTGAATACATGAATTAACTTATGCAATATTATTCTAGTTATGTCACCTATAATAATTCTACTTGACTTAAGAAAATATCTTAAATTTAGACTTAAGATTTAATTATTTATGTTGTATTAATTTATGTAAGATTCTTAAACAAATAATATATATATATATATATATATATATGTAACTAATTTGAATCGTTTCAGTAGGTAGAATTGAAGGCTAGCTGCTGTATATTTTTACCAACTACATCGATTATAAAAATAAAAAATAAAAAAAATTACTGAGCCAAGCTACATGGTTGTTGTGAAGGCAACATCAAGCAATTATACCGCCTATGAAGAAAATATATGAAAAGAAAACAGCGATACACGTGTCGAGCAGCACACATAGAATTTTTACCATAAGATTCGTTTTCAAGAATTTTGTAATGTTTAAAAAAAAAATTAAAACAAAATTACAAAAATAAATCTCCTACATTTTATTTATAAAAATAGACTCTTTTATTATAGCAGGTCAAAATTCGATTTCTAAAAAATCAAATTTCAGTATAATAGTTTTTCCACACTTTCTTTCATTTATAATTTTTAAATCATCAGAAATCACTTATTTAGGTCAGAATTCGACTTTTCAAAAATCAAATTTTGACTTAATATAATAAAGAAATTTACTTTTATAAATAAAGTGTGTGGAGATTTAATTTTAGAATTTTTTTTTAAATTCTAAAACAGTAAAAAATTGTCGTTTTCAATAATCACAACCGTCGAAGTTTTGAGGTTATGCTTCCCATCAAGGCATTAACATGACTTGCGGTTAGCCTAGGATCATTTTGTGGATTCCCATTTCACAGACATGCCGTCATTTCAATCAAGTCAAGTTTTCAACTTTCTACTCCTTTATGAATAATTATAATTATAGTAAGACAATCTAAATGTTGGGCACAAGGAAGTTATTAACTTCTGGGTCCATGCACTACCCGCTAGTTGGCCACGTTTCGAAACCCTAGTGATTCTTCCCCTTTGTAACTGAGTTAACGTCATGTAAAAAATCACGATGATCCATTGATTTGTCGACACGTTCCATGTGGTCCCCATCCAAAAGTGTTGTTTACATTGAACACCATGCAACGCCAAAATTAAAATGTGCTATGCTCTAAACTTTAAGACCATCTCTAGTGGGTTTTTTAAGGTCATCACTAAGGGTTCTTATGTAAATTCTTAAATTAAGAATCGATTTGTTCTTGATATAATCGAAATTAAAATTTGATCTCGAATTCTGATAGTAGTACAAAATAGTTGGCGTATAATCACCGCGAGATTTTAATCTTTTACCAACATTTTATTATTTATATTTGTTAAAATATTACTATATTAAATAAATATGTTATTTTGTAACACTTTTTTAAAAATATCATTATAAATAAAGTAATATTTTTTATTTCAATATTATTCTTTTTAATTATTTTTAAAATTAAAATCCTATATTAAGTAAAAAAAATTACATAAGTTATTTTGCAACATATTTTAAAAAATATTACTATAATTGCTTATAAAATCAAAGTCTCACATCGAGTCAAAAAAAAATATATTTCTCTTATATCTAATTGTAACTTATAATTAAAGTCTCACATCAAATAGATTAATAACTCATAAAGAGTATATATACTCGTATAGTTATATTTAAGATAAATGAAATTTGATATTCTATATATAATTAGTGGTGACTAACTAAAAATGTTTTTCCCTAAAAATTTAAGGAACTCCTAGAAGTTTAGGAGACATAAAAAATATAATAATTGATAGTAATATTTAAATTAAAATTAATTATTATTTTATAAAGTTAACAAAATCTTGGCAACATTATTAAAATGTTACAAAAATACTACTTTGATAACATTTAAAAAATGTTAACTAATTATACAAAAATATTATTAAAAGTCTTTAGCAACATGGACTATATACAACATTTGATAATATGTTGCTAAAACAAATTAGCAACATTTATACATAATTAAATAATATTTTTCAAATTTTGCTAAATACCATTTGTGTTGTAGTGAATAGATTCAGCAATAAAAATTATCCTTTTATCATTAGCTTGGGCATCAAATTAAATTTTAGTGATATTTCTTATCACTAATTTTAGTTTTTTTATTGTTAATTATTAAAATAAAGACTTAATTACTTTTTGTTATTCTAAATTTTTATTTTGTCACCAAATTTTGAAAATGCTATGAACCTTACTCTTGTTTTTATTAAAATACAAAAGAAATGTTCAGATGGCATTAAACTTGATTAATTATATTTTGTACCTCAAACTTTCACTTTGCATGAATTTTGTCTCAAATAATTTTTTCATAAATTTTACCTTTCAAATTTCGATAATGTTAAGTGTTCTAATCCTTGATCGGATTATATTTCGTATTAATGTTCATATATGTGAATATATATATATATATATATAAAGATAATTTATGGATATTTGATAATTCAATATAATAATATTGTTATGATTAAGTATCCTTAGGTCCAAACTAGGGATGGCAAATAAACCTGTATCTGTGGGTAATACCCGAACCCGTCTCGACTTTAACGGGAAATACCCGCTTTGATCGGGTACGGGTACGGGTACGGGTAAAACCCGATAAAAGAAATCGGGTACGGGTACGGGGACGGGTATATACTTACCCGCCCCGTCCCCGTCCTCATCCCCGTCCCCGGTTAAATACCCGTCCCCGTATAATTATTTTTAAAAAAATAACATTTCAAATATTGTTCTAGGCCACGCTGAGCAAGCAAAAACTTAGGGTTTCAATTTCAAATCTCATTCACACTCCAAGCACTCTTCTTTCTCCCTCCGAGCCACGGAGCCACCGCACCGGCCACTCTAGCCTCTACTTTCTCCCTCCGAGCGGCTCCCTCACCACGACTGGTACGTCTCTCTCTCGCTCAATCTTCTTTCTTCCTTCCCTCGCAGCGGAAAATCAAGAAATTCAGCCTTCTTGTGAGCTTTCTACTTACTCCTCTAACGGCTTTGCATCAGATTGGGAACATGTGGAGAAAAGCTCGTAGGGCTGCTTTTGAAGAAACCTTTAAAAGTTTGGTTATATGGTTCAATAAATGTTTGTTTGATTATATGACTGAATAAATGTTTATGGATTAGGAAGGTTTAGGTTTAAGTGAAGAAGATGGGTCTGAATCGGGATGGGTGGCTGCTAGAACTTCCTGCAATCACCTGGGCGCATTATCCGACGATCTGAGTCACATTCCGACCCCTGACACTCACTGCAACACGTGCCAACACCCCACCGAAAACTGGTTGTGCCTTTCCTGTAAGCAGGTTCTGTGCAGCCGTTTTGTGAACAAGCACATGCTCCACCACTTTCACCACACCAACGCGAATCATAGCGTTGCCCTCAGTTTTAGGTATTCACTCTCATCACATCACATCGATTTTAAAAAATTATTTTTTTACGGGTACGGGTACGGGTATACCCGATACCCGACGGGGACGGGGGTGGGGCAAAATTTACATACCCGACGGGGATGGGGACGGGGACGGGTATCATGAAACTCGTACCCGCCCCGCCCCGTTGCCATCCCTAGTCCAAACTCATAGTCAAAACTAATTATTCAAAGGTAAGGTTACTAAAATTCAAGTTTTAGCCTGCTAGCAAAAATTTATTTGCTATTATTTTTTATAAAATAAAAGGATCACATATATTGTCAAAAGGCCTCATATTTTGGTATAAATATCTAATATATTTTTCTCATTAAAAAAAACCTTTTCAAGATCTGCTTTAAGCCTCATTTGTAGCTAGTGGGTAGGGATGGCAACGGGGCGGGTTGGGTACGGGTTTCATGATACCCGTCCCGTCTTCGCGAGTTAAACTCATCCCCGTCCTCGTCCCCGTACCCGTTAGATATGTGATTTTCATCTCCTTTCCCGTCCCCGTTGGGTATCGGGCCGTACCCGTACCCGTACCTGTCAAAATTTTTATTTTTTATTTTTTGTAAAAAAATACTATTTTTAAATTATTTTTTTATTATATTATAATTATAATTAAGTTATTTTTCTATCTCATATTATAATAAATAATTACACATAAAAAAATATTAATTTTTTTAATATAATTAAATTGAAAGTGAGTATTAAATTAAAAATGAAAACGGTGACGGGTACAGGTATGAGACAGGTAAGTACATACCCGTACCCGTACCCGATTTAATATATCGAGTTTTACCCGTACTCGAACTCGGTCAAACCGGGTATTTCCCGTCAAAGTCGGGATGGATTCGAGTATTACTCGCGAGTACGGGTATATTTGCCATCCCTAAATTAATGAGGTTAATTAGTCCTAGGCAGTGATTTAAAAATCGGACCGAACCTGCCGGTCGGACCAGTTGGACCGGGAACCAGTGGTCCAGCCGGTCCGAATCCTAAGTTGGATCGGTTATGCAGTCGACCCGTTTCAAACCGGATTGAACCGGTCAATTTTTCGGTTCAACCGGTGAAACGGTGGGTCAAACCGGTTCAACAACTTTTTTTCTTTTTTCTTTTTTTAATTTTTTTAAGGGACCATAAACCACAAAAATAATAATGAAAATTGAATCTCTTAATGGAAAAGCAAGGAGTCTTATTAAATATAACAATGACTACTTGTTCTAATATATTTTTTTGCAATATATACAACTTAAATAACTTTT